AATGCCCAGCTGTATGCAGCAGTGCCATCCCATCCCATCCCATCTCATCCCATCCCATCCTACCTCCTCCCATCCCATCCATCCCGTTCCACACTCACCCATGCTGTCTCTGTGGGGACCCTGTGGAGGGGTGAGCTGAGCAGATCTGTTCTGGTGGCAGTGTGGCCAGCCCTGATCTTATACAGGGATTGTCAGCAAGGAGTGACAGCTGACACGAACAGCAGCACTCCTTTCATCCTGGAGGTTTATGGCTTGTTTGTCCTCCACAGGCTCCTCTGCTCATGTGCCAGCTGTTGTGCTTCTGTGATAAGGGTTCCTGGCAGAGAGCAGCAGATGTTCACACAGAATTCCACCAAACCCACAAAAGCTCCAGATAAGGGTTTGTGCAGAGGTTGTTATTACTTACTGGATTTGATGCCAAGCCCTGTAGGGACATCCTGTATCATGGGCTGTGCCAGAGACCTTCATGAGACACCCTCTGGAATCTCTCTGCCCTCGCTGATGCATCACTGGAGCAGAAGCCACACTCTGACACTGCACCTGGGTTTCCACAGGCACTGAGGAGCAAAGGGGCTTCATCCCCAGCCCTGGCCCCACTCCGTGCCAGCCCCCAGCAGTGAGCCATGGGGCAGCCACGTGTGTGCAGGTGCTGCTGCCCCAGGGCTGCTGCAGGGCAGGTCCTGCAGTCCACCCAGGGATGAAGTCAGGGGTCTGCTGGAGGGTTTGGCTCTGACCTCCCAGTGCTGGGTAACTCATCCTGCATCCAGCTGCAACTCCTGTTATCGAGGTGGCTGTGGGTTAAGTGGAATAGATGCTGACCAGACACAGAGCAGTGCCTTGCAAGTGGCACAGCAACAGGAGGGGAGTGCTTAGAAGGGCAGTGGCACAGCCCAACGATGCTGGGTGATAGCCCAGTGTGTTGGTTTGGGCTGGAGTTAACTTTCTTCCCAATGACTAGTATGGAGCTATGTTCAGGATTTGTGCAGGGCACAGAGTTGATAATGCAGAGATGTTTTTGCTACTGGTGAGCAGAGTTTACACAGAGCCAAGGCCTTTGCTGCTTCCCACACTGCCACATTGGCAAGAAGTTGGGGATGCATGGGACCTTGGGAGGAGACACAGCTGGGACAGGTGACCCAAATTGACCAAAGG